GAGAGGAGAAATTTCCCCTGTCAGTGCGTGTAGGGTAACGACATATAGCGTTAGACGTAAATTGGTAAACTACCCGCTACCATTCTAAAAAAAAACACCAAACCTGAACAACATAGCCATGTATTTGTCTGTGACAGAAACTATACTCGGTTCAGTTCTGTGTAACTGAGATCATACGCGTCACACGCACAACGACGGCCCTATACGAACTTATAATATAGATCTCCTCGCTGACATGCTTCGTGCTAATGGAAAATAATTACACAATTAACACGTATGTGGTTAATGCACCATATTCCTTGACGTGAAACGTGTGGATCGATCTTGCCTCGCTCTTGCATGTATTGTACATGACGCAAACAACATTTTCCTCACTAATCCCCTTACATGGAGAAAGCAGCACGTTCTTTTCTTTATTCTCATGCGTAGTTTGTGAAACCGGTAATAACCAGGTTATTACTGATATTCTTTCTGTCTGATTCTTTCTTCTATTCTTTCTTCTTACTGACCAGTTCTTTCTGATATCCCGTACATAACGCAAGCAACGTTTTCTTCCCTAACGTGACAAACACAATACGGGATATTCATACATGTACACGAGAAAGACAGTGTGCTTTTCCTACATTTTTATATAAACATGAAACAAGCTACATCTTCTGGCTACATTATCATAATAACATGAAACAGGCCACAATTCCTTCCTACGTTTCCATGTAAAGGTGCGGTACGCTCTACTATTCCCGGGCATGGAACAAACAACGTTCTTCCCTAATTCCCGTACATGAAAAAACATATTCTTGCCTAAATCCCGTACATGATTCAAACAATATGTGCCTCCCTAATTTCCTGTACATGGAACAATGTTCTTCCCTAATTCCCGCACATGGAACTAACAGTATGCTGTTTACCCTAATTCTCCCACGCAAAACAGGCAGCATATCCTTCCCATGTGCTCTGCCCCAAATCTCGTGTACACTATCCTAGTATGTGCTACCCCAGTTGGACTTTCGCTGCTCGGATTTTCCGCTAGCATTCATCTTTACTATGTCAAGCAGCAGCAGCGGTTTTGTGCGGGAATGCCCCGTGAACGCTTCCGTGCCTGTAGAGCATCGGCACGTGAATCCCCGCGCGCGGGATTTCACGCGGATTCAGAGAGAGTGAGACGTGAGCACGATGCGCGTGTGGTCTCGCACTCTCGCCTGCCTAGTGTTATGTGCGCGGCGAACTTTCTCCCCGAGGGTGGACCGTGAGGAGTTTCATTTCGGGGCGTAATTAATGATCGAAACGTTCCAGTCTGCAA